ACACACACACACACACACACACACACACACACACACACACACACAGGACTCACCCTAAGGTAGCGTTCGCCGCTGAAGCCGTTTATGCATGACTTGGGAATCTCCACCTGTCTCAGGCTCCAATCCAACGTACCGTTAGCACCGCAACAGCGCCCCTACAACAACATTACCACGTCACGTCACAGCGATGCAGAGACCACCCCGCCACACATATCCAGGGCCGTAGCCTGTGGAAGGGGGGAGCAAGGGGGGCGGGCAGCTGCCCTCTAGATTTTGGAGCAAAACTAAAAAAATATAAGCTTAGCTAATAATCGTAAATAACCCTAACGTGATTGTTTGGTCACTTCTCCATGAAGGCCTTGTCTCAGACCCACCGCTACCACACTATCAGGAGCGTATAATGACAAATATTTGTCATTATACGCTCCTGACGCTATGGATGTCGATCAAGAGCTGCGCCCGTCCCTCATCATTACTATTCGATGGTTGAAACCCATTATTACTTACAATAATTTATAATGTATTATTGGTCATATAATCAGGGGGTTAATAATGACAAATGTTTGTCAACAATTAATCATTATTAACCCCCTGATATAATTGATAATGCATAAGGGGGATGTTTGCTGTAATAAGGAGTGCATACCATGCTGCAGCCCTGATCTATGTCTCTCTGTGATACACTACGCTATGCTATGCTATGCTAGGCTATTCTGTGATAGCTACGCTATGCTATGCTGTACTATGCTATGCAATACCATGCTATGCTATGTTATGCCATTCCATGCTATGCTATGCTATGCTGTACTATGCTATGCTATGCTATGCAATGCCATGCTATGCTATGCTATGCTATGCAATGCCATGCTATGCTATATGCTATGCTATGTCATACTACGCCATGCTATACGATGCCATGCCATGCTATGCTATGTCAAGCCATGCCATGCTATGCTATTTTGACGACTTACGAACTGTTGCATGTGGTCCATCGTGAACTTGATCTCATCGTAGCCGGGCACGTAGTAATAGTTGACATAGCGATCCAACTCGGTGTAGATGATGTAAGAAGTCTGCAGTAGCAGACACCAGGGGGCAGCACGAGTTAGAAACCACACATATATATATATACGATATTTATANGAGAGAGATATGATGAGAGAGAGAGAGAGAGAGATTTACGCGAGAAGAGACGAGAGAGAGAGAGAGAGAAGAGAGAGAGACGCGAGAGAGGAGAGAGAGAGAGAGAGAGAGAGAGAGGCAGAGAGAGAGAGGAGAGCAGAAGAGCGACAGAGAGAGACGACTGATGAGAGAAGAGATAGAGAGAGAGAGAGAGAGAGAGAGAGGAGAGAGGCGCGGAGACCAGAGAGAAGAGAGATGAGAGAGAGAGAGAGAGAGAGAGCATAATCACATCCGAGATCATAAAACTTCATAAAGACGTCCCGAGCAGAATTTACAACGCTATCATTTCACTCGTTTTTTTTATCTTCAGTTCCCTCAGAGTCGATTAAGTTACGCCGATCGTATATATATATATATACCACCTCTAATCCGCCATTATCTTTATGGTCATGTACGCTAGCGGGAAATTCATCTGCTCACATTAATTTATTGACTTTCATCTCAGAAAAATCGCCGACGTAAGAAGAGGGAGTGTTCGAAGTCGTAAACGTATCGATTACCGTCGGATTCGATTAGTGTCATCGCAATCGATTTGTGTCATCTATATCGTCGTCTGCGACCGTGCCCCTGTCATGGCCGCCATCACGGCTGCTGCTGTTGCTGCTGTGGGATTGCAAGGATCGGGAGAACGAGGGAGAGAGTTTGGCGTGCGCGCTTACCCAGAAACAGAATGTGAAGACCAGTAGAAGGAACTTCATGAGCTTGTAGGTGCCCTCGACCGCCATGGCGTCTCTTGGGTGCTTGTCGTAGTCTTAGAAAGAATGTATCCACGCTTCCTCTCTCTCTCTTTCTTTCTCTATCTTTTGCGGTCACTCTCTCGTTCGGTGTCTCTCGCGTTTGAAACACTGCAGTGCTGCCGCGATAGCTTGCGCCTACACTGTGCGACGTGTTTGTGTGATATCTCCTCTCTCTCTCTCTCGCTCTCTCGTTCTCTGGGCTAGCAGAGTGGTGGCGGCAGCGGTTGGTAAATATGTGGCGTGGTCCAACGTCCAACAACGCTCACCTCCGCGTGTGCACGTCATCTCTGCGGCATCTACCCCCCTCTCCTCTCTCTCGTTCTCTCCATTTCTCTCTCTTCCCCTCTCTCTCATTCTCTTTCGCTCTCTTTCTCTCTCTCTCTCTCTTTTTCTCTCTTTTACTTCTCTTAATATCTGTTGCGGACTCGTTCTCTCTTTTTCGTTCTCTCTCGCTTTCTCTTTTCCTTTTATCTGCGTTTTCTATCGTTCTAGCTTCCTTCTCGTTGTCTCGCAGTATTTCTCTGTCTCTTTTCTTCTTCCTCCACTTTTTTCTATCCC